GTTATATTAGTGTCAAAAACTTTTGTCAAATATATCTCACACACTTTGGGCTGAATTTTGTTGATAAACATGGATATGTCACCTATTGACGAACCATTGCATCATGAAAAACTGATCACTTTTTTAATCTGCAAGTAAAAGCAAATTAAAAAGCAAGTAAAATGACTTTATTTTGTTTGAAAACTTTTAAGAGTAATATTGATGTTGTGCTGATGTTGTTTGGTTAGAAATAAATATGTAAACTGTAAAAAATGCCCATGATTTTAACGGTAAAAGACTGTAAAAATGCTACATTAAAGACCTGTTAAATGGTTAACGGTAAGTTCCCCTACTATATACGGTGAAAAACTGTATTGGACATTACATGTAATGTTACAGCAGTATACCGTTTTTGGAAGGGAAAAAGAACGTATACTTACAGTGAATAACGTACTTGGTTACTAACGTAACCTCGGTTCCCTGAGATACGGGAACGAGTACTGCGTCTTGCTTAAGACGCATATGGGGAAAAAGCCTTTTTCATTCACGCAGTGAAACTGCACGGCCATTGGTTCATGCAGGGCTTTAAAAACGAACCAATGGCGCGGCAGCGGAGCGGCATGAGCCTATGGCGACGAATCCCGCCAAAGCCCACCAGAATGGGTGGGGCATCTGGCTATATAAGCGGGCACTCGCCACAGGATTCTCAGGTTTACTTCGACTGAAGCGACGACTGAGTCGTGCAGCTACATAGCACGGCTAGCAACGTAGTACTCATTCCCGTATCTCAGGGAACTGAGGTTACGTTAGTAACCGAGTAAGTTCCCTTTCGATACTTCATTCGTACTGCGTCTCGCTTAAGACGTATATGGGAACAGTCCAATCACGCTGTGCTAATGTAGTGGAACGACTAAAGGTATAACTTCCATAAGCAACCAATGCTTAAAGAGAAGTCAACAATAACCCAAGGCTAAGCGGGCTGAGCTTTCTAGGTCACACCCGGCCTGGTTATTCGTTCCAGAGTATACCCGTAACTTCGACACCCAGGGGTCGAGAGTTAACAGGTGAACAATACCAGAGAACTTGGGCGCAGCACGGCCAAGGGCTCTCTGTCATGTCTGTTTACGCAGCACGTGCCATTTCAAGCGAAAGGATCCTGGCCTGTAAGGCCGGGATTTCCAGGTTATAAAACCTTGCAAATGTGGAAGGCGAGGCCCAGCCGGCCACCTCACAAATATCCGCAATGGACACACCACTGGACCATGCCCACGATGAGGCGATGCCTCTAGCCGAGTGGGCCCATACTCCAATGGGGCATTGGAGGCCAAGGAAGAGTATGCTAGCGAGATGGCGTCTACTATCCATCTAGAGAGTCTTTGCTTCGTAACCGGAAACCCCTTGGTGCGGTTACCGAAGCTGACAAAAAGTTGTTCCGATCGCCTATAGGGAGCGGAACGCTCAACATAGATTCTCAACGCCCTGACGGGGCAGAGCAGAGATAGCTCTCTGTCCTCTTCAGTTGGAGGAAGCGCGGAGAGCGTAATGACGTAATGACCTAACGGAATGGAGAGCACTTTAGGTACGTAACCGTGCCTCGGTTTCAGGATGACTTTAGAGTCGTTAGGCCGTTAGGCCCGACAGTCAGGTTTAAGTGAAAGCACCTGCAGGTCTCCTATTCGCTTTACTGATGCTAGTGCTAGAAGCAGAGCAGTCTTTAGCGATAGC